TTCGAGCTAATTAACTTCGAGCCAAACCTTGAGTCATGAACATTTCAACGAAAATTTCTTTGTCTTTTGCAAATAAGCGACGTAGCAAATACTGAAAAGCTTGCGGTTCGAGGTTAGAAATTTAGTTTAATAATCTGGATGCATCTTACAAAGCACCTTGATTGATATATAATAATGAAAAGAAGATTAGCGATATGCACGATATATAGATTGATATATAGATTGATATATTTATAGTCCATTCTTATAATTAAGACCGATTCTTATAATTAAGATTTTAAGTACAATTATAAGATGTAAATCAATACTAAAGAGTATTAGCTCATAATTATTTAAAACGATCTTAAAATAAAAGACTATATGAATATTAAGCATAAAATGAAAAAGTATACAAGTAATCTTAATTATAATGATAAAACATGATATGTATGCATGATACGTATGCACTATACTAATCTTCTTTTCGTTTTTTATTATGTAATGAAATCGTGCATTATTAATTACATTTATACTTATATTTACAGCTTACGTATCTCTTCTCAAGGCATATCTTTATAAGAAAAAATATTCTTTTCCAACTGTACAAAAGAATAAATTTTATTTTATAAAAACATGGAGGTTACAGATATTTTGCAAAAATTGGGCATAAGCGCTTATGCTAATGTTTTCGAAAGTAAGTAATTAATAAATATTTTACAACATATTACTCTTTCTTGTGACGTTTCGTGTGAAATTAAAGTTATAAATTTTTACATAACATTTCTTTACACATATGCATGCACACACGTACGCAGTCACTCATATACAATTTTAAATATTTCTTTTATAATAAAAAAATATTGTGAACATTAATTTCTTTTATATTTTAATTAAAGAAAATGGAATCACAATGGAATTAATAAAGCACTTAGATGAAAAATTAATTGCTGAACTAATTCCCGAAATTGGTCCACGTATCATTTTTATATCGTATTGGAAAACAAACTTTTCAGAAAAAAACCTTTCAGAACCAAGTACAAGTTCAGATGCAGGAACTAATGTAGGTTACATTAACAAATATTCCATTCATACTGCTGTTTTGCTTGGATTTATTTAATCAATTACAATTTTATTAATTTAATTAAAATAAAATTTATTGTGTTATTACAAAATATAAAAAAAAATTATTTTATTTGACATTTGATAGTTTTAAAAATTTTATGAAATTTTATTTATTTCATTAGTATGAAATCTTTATCTGCAACATATTTTTCATTTTATCGTTTGTTATTCGTATACGATTACTTGTGTTGTATTTAATAAATAATTTATTAAATATATGAGAAAAGAAGTAAATATTTTTTGTATATTTGTTGATATAGAAACGAATTTAATTTTAAAAATAAAATAATATTTATTTTAAAATTTTAACCTATGTTAATATTTTAATATAATTTATTGTAAAAAAATTATAACATACACGCACACACACACACACAAACAATAGAACATTTTCATAACCAGATTCGTTTTCATCAAAAATATACAAGAAATATTTACTTCTTTTTTATGTATATTTATTAAACTATATTTAAAAGTAAATATATATAAAGAAATAGTATTTATAATATGTTGAAAATATTTATATGACAATTAGAAATTAAACTAAAAATTATAGTCTTTTCTGTATGCGAGTTATTCTACTTAT